CAAAAACATAAAATCTATATCAAAGCCTCTCTGTTCATTTTTGTTATCAGTGTGGAACCTCAACAGAACAAAGTCTCCAGAAATCGGAACCTGGTAATTGGTCTTTTGGCCACAGATTGTAGTAAGCAACACCGACTTTTGATTGACTTTCCTCTTTATCTGCAAAAAGTCATGACTACAAAAGAAGGAAATCATGTTTTTTTTAAAATAAAAATGCATGTTAGTTACCGATAAGCAGGGACAAGAGAAAAACCTAGAAAAAATGGCAAATACTTCCGGAGACGATTAGAAAAAAACCAAGGTATTATGCGAAACGTATTTACTTTAATATTCCTTTCTACAATGTGTCATTTTGTGTCATTTTGGGTGAACTGCTATCTGCAAAATGGCCAAAATTTTAACTGCCAGCTGTAAAAGCCACCGCCCCATTGACACCCTCATGTTAGGTCCAGCCAATAAACTAATAAGTCTAGGATTTAAATCTCAGAGCTGCGACAGATTTCCCATTTTCCATAATGAGCATGAAACGGTTATACTTTGAACTTAGATTCCATATCCACCAAGTACCTCCAAACCCTCCAATTCCTCATCTTTATTTTTAATCTAAATATATTTTCCTCATCATCATTTTCTTCCATGAAGATTGCAATAACTTTTGATTCATTCGTTAAAAAGATTTAGCCAAAAAAAGGGGTCGAAAACGTTGTGATAAACGTTTGAAAAAAACAACAGCATTCAGACAGAGAAATTGCACAAATCTGTATTTGCATGATAATGATTGCAGCTACTCCAAATCCAGGCACAGTCCTATTTTGTGCTTCTCACTGTATAAGCCTTTTCTCCAACTGTTCTCTTCCTGTCTTTACGTACATCAACAGTTGCATCTTCAGAATAGCATTTGGATAGAAAGTTGGACTAGTTTATGATACACTTGTATCCTATCAAGTACTTTTACCTGCACGATGCGTGATCTTCCAAATGTAAATCCTTAATCAAGATTTGCATTTGCGCGTTTGGAGGAATAGGAAAGGAGTAATTGCAGTCTAGATTGCTTGGGTAGCCAATTGGATATCCAGGACTTCTCAGCGTATTATTTATCACCGACCCACAATCTGTTAACGCAAAGTAAATGAGGATTGTGTGAACTATTTGTTATCTATTTCCTGGTGCGAGCGACGAAAGCAGCCAACGAGATATTCTAAAGATAAGACTGACAGCGCTGTTAACCACGGACTGTTCAACAGTTCACTAGTTAGTTTCTCGTGCTTTTAGTTGTATTACTACAGCGTAATTTGATTTGCTCAAATTGTTAACTCCAAGAAACGATATTTCCTTCTCAGGTAACACAGGTTCATTCTATAAAGAAGAAACCAGTGAATAACAAAGAAATAATGAAACTGTTACATGGATGCAACACAGAAGATATGATGGAACGTTACATGCACGTGAAACGACGAAGACGATAAGAAATAACTTGTGCTTTAAATAAAACTGATTGCTAAAAAATGAAAACAATCAAATTATGTTTTCTCTTAATTTTGATTAGTACTCTTGTGAAATTATGATTCCTTGTTCCCTGACATCTTCCATCAACAGAAACAACTTTCTCTGTGAAATAAAGAATAGAGTTTAGAAACAGCTATTTTACTGGAATATTTACCAAATGGAACAGGTGTAAAGTGCATTTTGAATCCTCGTTTTTCGTGTGAAGCGTCGGAGTGGAAAACCATGAAGGCGTATTGTCCAGTTACAAGAACCTCCTCTCCAGTCTTCTCTCCACAGTAAAAACCAAAGTTGTGGTTCATCTCGTTACGGATCCTCAAAGAGTCCCAGCTACGAAGAATTATACAATAAGCTAAATTAAACATGCATTTTAAATACATAGGTTTCAACTGCGATCTATTGGAGAGCAAAAACATTGATGATTTCATTTATTATTCATACATGACATTGATCTCGAACAGCTGTTTAGCTACATTAGTTTTACTCTAATGCAAGACATGATACGAATCTTTACCCGCAATGCTTGCTGTCCTCAAGGTCAAAGTCAGCAAAATAAATTTTCATCTGCATGTTTTGCGGAATAGGAATAAATGACAGACAGTCTGTATCGCTCGGGTAGTTGTCAGGATATCCAGGACTGGTCAGTGTATTATTATTGACCACACCACATCCTGTTACACCGAAGAAAGATAAAACAGAGCTTTGTTCGATCAAATGTTTTGATTGTGTTATTAATGACTCACTTAGGAGGATTAACTCTTTACTTGTACGTTACATGCAGGTCTAACTATGATTTATTTCGTATAATTGTTACTTTCCTTTAATCCACTAAAAAGTGTTTATACCTCGGTAGGTAGTGGCTCCTAGTTAGCATTTTTTTTGCAATTTCTTTAATTGCAGCTCACATGCAAGGATAATTTATCTACTTGTCCTTTAAGTCTATCACAGTTCTACTGCACTTAAAGTTGCACTTATCAAATCTTCATCTTTCTACCAAAACATCACCACCCTTCCGATGTCGCGAGTTAAAAATTTACGTCGGAGGACTACCACACAAACTGCCAAAGTGATCAGGCCCTCCCTCGAGATGCAAGAGCCCTGTCTGAGGTAGTCCGGACTGTCTGGGGTCGCTTCGAATCGTTGTTACTTTCCACCCGTTTTATCGCTTTGAACTTTCCTCATCTTCATCGAGGTCTTCGGGCATTAAACGAGACTTTCAAAGATAAGTCCTAATCAATATATATCATAAATGTATTTTATCTAGTTCCCTTTATGTTTTAGATATATTTATGTAAATATGAGTAAACTTACCATTTTGAGCAAAGGAGAAGCGTAAACGAAATCCTTGTCGTT